CAAAAGATAGACAACAAGTTACTGTACAATGGAAGGGAAGTGATTTTTGTGATTGTCTCAATAAGAATAATGTTAATTTGGGTGGAGGTCAGTTCGTTTCAGCAAATCAGGTACTAAATTTAGCTAACAAGTGTATATCTGAAGAAACAATTAATTTTAAAGTAGATGGTGCTGTTTCCAATGATATTAAACGTTGGATCGATGAAGCAATTAGTTCTGTCTTGAAAGATATTAATATCAACAGAGAAGATACTACACTGATTAATCAAGCAGAGAAAGCTTTGGCTAAAGGTTTAGGTTTAGATCTAAAAGATTACCAGCCAATTACCTCCATGTTCGAGCTGTATGATAGCTTGTGTCATCTAACTAGCTTTGAAACCGCCAATCATGAAATTCGTGAATGGTGGAAGAGGAATAGGGAAAGTCATGGCGCTTCTGTCTCAGTTTCCGCTCCATTAATTGGTGATCTATTTTCAGGTTCTGTTAATGCAAACTATGACCAAATCAACGAAATGATCAATAAGGGAGTGTTTTCTAATCAAGCAAGTTTTATGAACCATTTGGAAAAGTTGAAAACAAGCAAAGGTCTACAACCTGTATTTACTTCTCGTTCCCTTAATCTTGTTGAGGGTGGGTCATTATCAAAAGAACTCAAAAAGATTATTAAGGTAATTGGAGTTGAGTTGATTTTGAAAACAACAAGTAAGAAGAAATCAATGATTTTAGCCAAAGAAGATGACCGGAAGAAAACTGTGGACAGATTCAAAAGTTTAACCGATCAAGTAACAAGCTTATCTAATACGATTACAAGCCTTAGCTCAACAATTGAAAAGATTATCTCACACATGAAATATCCACAATATGAATTAATAACAACTCCCAAACCAGACAACATAGGTGATTGGTATGTAAGCTGTCCTTCAGGATACAGAGTTAACTTTTGCGGTGTCATGATGCCTCATGGCACAGGTCAAAATTTTTACTATGGAATAACCACAGATAGTGTTTCATGTTTGTGTTCTGTAGGTAAGAAAGACAACAAGATACCATACGAACCAGGTCAGATTCCAATATGTAAAGCTCATTGCATTAGGACTATTTATAGTGATTTAACAATTAATATCTAACAATAAAATCCTTTCATCAGACTTATTCAATCAATCTTGTAATGTTGAGTTGCTTGGAATGATGCAACGTTAGTATTTCGATAAATTGTAAACAATAAATACTGACAATAGTTGTTCGACATCTCTCCGCTCATTAGCATCCAGTAAGTGGGCCAAATAAAGATTTATATCCTTTAAGGCAGGTTCTGATGTTGATTCACCAAACGGTGTCTCAATTCTTGAGCTTTTAATCCATTAGTCTTAAATTATATATTTTATTATTTTGAGTGTTTAAAAACATTGAACTGTTTAACCATTTTAAAATATCTTGTAAGGATAAATGATGGACAATAAAGATGTACATCCTTCAAAGCTGGTTCCAGATTTTTCACCAGTTAGTGTAAATAGAGATACAGGAGTGGCAATTGGCTTGAGAAAATTGAAGGTCTTGAAAATAGTTGCAATTCTTATTAGCTCTGCTCAACCAACCTTGCATATTTCTTTCAGAAATAGTTTTGTTCATCATACCAAATTCAGTCTTCTTGTATATGATATTTGAATAGAAGAATATATTACCGATAAATACAAGTGAATCGAAAATTTCAAAGAGCTGTTTCAAATATTGTTGATGCTTCTTTGATATGTTATTGAACTAGATCTAATTTAAAATAAAGTTGGTGTTATTCCCTTATGGTGGTCCTTGGTTACTTAAGCCGGTTTTCCTGTAGATGTTTATGATTCACATTTTGTGTGAATGAATGGCTACGGCCATATCACGATGAATGCACCTCATCCCGTCCGATTTGAGAAGTTAAGCATCGTCGAGCCACATCAGTACTGAGGTTGGAGACAACTTGGGAACCTGTGGTGCTGTAGTCTTTTACTCTTTTTGTTTTTGTACAGTATTAAAGTGTTTTACTTTCTTTTATGAGAGATTAAGGATGTTTGTTAAATTCCATTAACAAAAACAAGGTGATTTGTGTGATGAATTCAATTTACAAACATATACCAACTATCATTGGATTGTTAAAAATTGTAAAAAGGCATNGGGTGGAGTTTCGCCAC